CACCCCAAACCTATCTTTTCACCTCTAGCTCACCCTCCTCCCCTCCTGGCTCAGTGATTGAGGCAGCCCTGGAAAAGGGTACAAAAAAGTGTTGCCATGTTGGCAGGTGTGTATATGCATGCACTGTATGTGCATAAGAGACTGTGTCTTTGTATAGGGAAGTGTTTATATTGCTGTATGTGTGTATAACTGCATGAATAAAATTTGCAGCTTAACACTTTGACTTTTATTCCTTTTGCTGGCTTGCACACACAAAAAAGGATGACATAACATATGTGTGTATTCATTTCATAACAAGTTTAAAAAGAGAAGGGGACACTAAAAGAAATGTATCATTTCTTAAAAAGTGAATGTTTTGACTAGTAATTGAAGAAGAGACAGTGTATCATATATTTCTTGCCAGTTTTGCCTAGCAACATTATAAACTCTTACTTGTAAAATCTGTTTTATGTATGGCTAATACCTACTGCCCTCGAGGCCTGATCTTAACTGGGGTCTCTATTCACTAAATAACAATTGAAATCTCTCTCTGTATAAAAAAAAGTATTGCCTGCTGTGCAACAGAATGACATCATCAGGTTCTATGGCTGCGAAAGCGGCCAGAGAGAGGGGGGTTGGCAAGCACAGCAAGCAGTGGGTGCAGCCCCCCAGTATTAAATAATGTGGAAGTGCATGCTAGATGTGAACTCAGGAATAGAAGTATGTATCTGCATGTAAGCATGGGAGTCACTTTCTACTACAGAGGTAAATTAGGGATGTTAACATGTACGTGTATACACGGTTAACCAAAAAGCCTTGGCTCATCAGTTAACCCACCCAGTTACTTGCACCCCTCCCCACTCAGCTGCCTCTGTATCAGGAGGCAGCACAGTGGGGGCAGGTTGCAACCAGTGCTCCCAGGGAGCTATCTTAAAAGCTGGCTCCCCGCGGGGACCAGTTCCTGCCTGCCCTGCTGCTTATAAATGTGTAACCACTAATTCCACACGTAAAATTAAATAAAAACATTAAATTCTGAAAGTGCACCAAAAGGTGAAAATAAAATTTACAAGAAAGATTGGATGGCTAACAGTTTGCAGCTACCTTGAATCATACTTAGCCATCCAATCTTTCTCCTAAATTGGTAGCTGAAAACTTTATTTTCAGTCTTTTGGTACGCTTTCAGAAAGACTGTCTTTTTAAAATATACTTTAATTTTTTAAAATGTTAGTCTTTTGGGGGGGCACGCCTGCTGGGGGTTCCATGAGCCGGAGCTGGTGGAGTCAACCTGCCCTGTTGGAGACCTGCTGGAATGGCTGACTGCCGGGCGGGACTGGGATGCAGCACGGCGAGGGAAGGGCCTGGCAAGGGAGGGAGCTGGTCAGGGGTCTGGTGAGGGGGAGGGGGAG